GGTTCTGCGCCAGGGGCGGCGGGCTCGGCTGGGAGGGGCCCTGTTCGGGAGGGGTGGGGGGCACTGGGCAGAGAGGGGTCGGAGGCTCTGCCGGGAGGGAGCTTGTTCGGGAGGGGCGGGGGATAGTGAGCGGAGGCGCTCGGCAGAAAGGGGCTGGGGCCTCGGCAGGGAGGGGCGGGGGGCTCGGCCGGGAGGGACGGCGGGGGTGAGGGGGGAGGTGGCAGGGAGGGGCGGAGGGGCGGGAGCTCATTGGGGAGGGGCAGGAGCCTCGTCTGGGCGGTCTGGGGCTGATGGGAAGGTCGGGTGTTTCGACCAGGAGGGTCAGGGGCTTGGTTGTCAAGGCCCGGGGGCTTCGGCCAGAAGGGGCAAGGTGCTAGGTTATCTGGGTCGGGGGAAGTTTGGCCAGGACTGGTGGGGCGTCTGGTGATCAGGGCCGGGAGCAGGGTTGGGAGTAGGGTGGGAGGGCTGGTCGGGAGGAGCTGGGGGTCCCGCCAGGAGGGGTGGGCCAGCCGGTGCTGGCCTGTGCGGGCCGACGCGTCTTAGAAAGCCGAGTTCCTCCGCGCCCCAGAGCCAGCCTCGATTGATCCAGCCAGGAAGGTGGGGAAAACCCGTATAAGTCCAACCAACCACCCCCTTTCTCCTAAATAAAACAGTCCTACAGCTTCTCCTCGCAGATTGTCTGGCCTTCCTAGATAGGTGTGGATATAGGTGTGGATGAAACACCCCAGGGGAAGGTGCAACAAACGTTCAAAAACAAACGCGTGGCTGTAAACTCTGCTGCGTTGGATTCTTTTTAGAATTAGGTGAATGATTGAAAATCTCTTGAGCTCAATGATGCCTCTGAAAGAAGTGTTTTTCAAACCGCAGGTTGCAACATAGTGGGTTGTGGCCTCAGTTTACCTTGTGACCGGCATAAAACACGTTCACAATAAGGACAAACTAGAATAGAATGGGAAGGAGAGGAAAGAATGTAAACATACACATCCCACTTAAGGGTAAGTATTATTTTGTGACTCCGTTTTGCAGGCAGATCATGTGATCAGTGTCTTTTATTCCTCTTAGACCATGAGTCCTAACCTCTTTAATCTACTCTGCCTCACCCTTGAAAGTTTGTAGTTTACCAATGGCTCCCTTCTTTGAATTCCTTTCTAACTCTCAACAAATATTTTTCTTGACCTTATGTTTTTAAGCTAACTTACTTGCCTAAGTAGCTTCTTTAAATTTTCTTAATGCTTTCTCTTTTATTTGCTTTTAAAATTTGAAATTTTCTTTCAGTGTCTCCTAGCAAGACCCTGGGCTGTGCCATCCACTTCAATTACCATTCATCTGCCAGATATAAGTGAAAAGTTTTTAATATGTAGGTTTTTGGATCAGCTTCCAAGAATAGTGTGTTTAATCAACAGCTGCTAGCTGCTGTAACTAGAATTTTCACTGACCTAACACAGAGAAATTTCTTTCTTGTTCACCTAACAGTTTAATAATGCAGGTGTCATTAGTCAGCGGGCAGCTTGCCTCCATGTAATGATTCAGGGACCCAGCATCCTTGCATCCTGGAGAAAGGTCAACAAACATTTTCTGTAAAGAGCCAAATAGTAAATGTTTAAGGCTTTGTAGCCATCAGGTCTCTGTTTAAAATATTTAACTCTGCATCCGCAGTTTTAGTGCATAGACAGTACTTTAAAATGAACGGGCATGGCTATGTTCCAATGAAACTTTATTTACAGAGACAGAGAGCCTGCTGGATTTCGCCTGTAGTTTGTTAACTCCTGCTATGGAGCCTCAGAGACTTCTGCATTTAGTTAGCGGTTGGGCCGAAAGCAGGCATACCTGCTTCTTAACCACATGGGCCCAGAAATAACATACAGCATTTTCTCTGTCATATTGTTGGCAAAAATGAAGCCCCATCCAGATAAAATGGGGGAGGGGGTAGGGAGGCTGGGAAATGTAGTCCCTAGCTGGACAGGCCCCACAACTCTAAAGGATGGAAGGTTAGGGGGCTGGGGTTATTATAACTAGCTGTCTCTACCACAAACTATATTCCTGTCGATGAAAATAATCCATAACCTATCTATAAATGAAAATTTGGGGGAGTTTAGTCTGAGCTAGAATGTGAGGACCATGGCCCGGGAGAGTCCTTCCACAAAGGAAGGGAGCACTCCAAAGAAGCAGGGGTACACAGGGTGGTTATATACCCTCAAAGAGGATGTTTCACATATGATTGAAATGTCCCTCTTAGAATAGTCACAAGATTGCCCTGTTGGCACAGTGTTTGATGGACACAGCAGGTAGTGGGTCTGCTATCTCGGTGGGAGTAGCAGGAAGTCTATTGTCTTGAGCTGGGCAGTCACAGGTGAGTGCAGCAATCAGTTCCTAGCCTGAGGAAAGATGCTTAATCTTTAAGGAAATGCCAACATTGGGAGGGGGAGGGAAGTTGCACCTTTATCTCAAGGGCCTTTGTTCTTGCCATAGGGAATGTCTAAAGCAGATATACAATGCATGCTCAACGGCCACGGTCAGGCCCTTTTGGAAAAACAAGGTCAGGCCGAATTAGGTTCTCACCAAACGGCTACCTCATATACTCCAATATATCCTATTGCTTGCCATTTCTGTTTGTCATTCCCCTTAATTTGAGTTTCTTTTTTCCATTACCACGTTTATTTATCCTTATAATAATTGTTAAGGTTATTATATATTATATAGTATTTATGATTTTTTTTGAAAGCAAGAGAAAACTTTTTTCCCAGTAAAATCTTAGGAGGAAACCTGGTATATACAAAACACCAAAGTGGAGGTGCTCTAGAATTGAAGCAGAAGGGGGGAGGGGAGGAAGAGAATGCCATCAGCACAGCCTTCCCTTTGACAGAGATAATAGTGTGGGGACTGGAAGTGGCCACCCCAAGATATGTCTCTTTGGCATGAGGATTATTTGAGGCTGATTGCTTTTGATAAACTGGGACAGGAGTGGAACTTGCTTGGCCTTTGTTAGGAGACATTTACCTTTGTAAGGTAAATCTCTATCTGTAAAAGGTGCCTCCCTCTCTGTACCAGGAAGAAGAAAGGAGATGACCTTGTCTTTAGAAACTCTTAATCAATGGGGAAGGCAAGGACTTAAATCTGCATTTGTTTATTGTGCTTGTCTGGTAACCACCGGTAACTGACTTCCCTCCCCCTCCCAACATTGGCATTTCTTTAAGGATTAAGCATCTTTCCTTAGGCTAGGAACTGATTGCTGCACTCACCTGTGACTGCCTAGCTCCAGACAATAGACTTGCCTCCTGCTACGCCCACAGAGATAGCAGACCCACTATCTGCTGTGTCCATCAAGCACTGTGCCGACAGGGCAATCTTGTGACTATTGTGGGAGGGACATTTCAATCATATGTGAAATAACCACTCTGTGCACCCCACTTCTTCAGTGTCCTTTCTCCCTTCGAGAAGAAAGGCCCCAGGCCATGGTTCCTTATAAAGCTTTGTTTAATTTTCTCTTGCTATTCTGTCTCATGTGAATTTAATTTGTTCTCCAGCCACACAAACCCACACTTAGGTAGAGGAAAAGTCTTACTCCCCTACAATAGCCTTCGGGTACCTTTGTGGGGAACATGCAACCACAGTTTGAAAACCAGCTCCATAGAGTGTACAGTCCATAAATCAAAGAAGTCATCACTTCACAGGTAATTCAGTAAGTTATTATTTTAAATCACCTAAAATTTAAATCCTTCCAAATCATAATTTACCAATACTTCTGTTAAAGTTCTTGAGTAACTACAATCTCTTTTGTATACTACCATTGATGAAACTATTAAGGGAATTTATTATAATAAGGGACTTTGACTCATTCTTTTCCCTGTCTGCTTCTTCCACTTGAGTCAACTTGAAAATATTTTGATATTTGCTTCCTTTAGAAGAGTTGAAGATATTAAGCTACCCTTAATCTCTTTATCCCAACCATTTCTTCAAACAACAAAAGGATGTTCTAGTATTAAATCAGCTTTGAACTTCCTGTTCTTTTACTTGATTTTTTTTGCTCCAAAACAATGAATTTTTTTCAGAATTCTAGCTGTATAAAGCACACCATATTTAGGGGTGACACATGGTGGCACTATTCTTAAAAGTAATATTGAAAAAAGAACTTGGGGCTGGCCCTGTGGCCGAGTGGTTAAGTTCGCGTGCTCCGCTGCAGGCGGCCCAGTGTTTCATTGGTTCGAATCCTGGGCGCGGACATGGCACTGCTCATCAAACCACACTGAGGCAGCGTCCCACATGCCACAACTAGAAGGACCCACAACGAAGAATATACAACTATGTACCGGGGGGCTTTGGGGAGAAAAAGGAAAAAATAAAATCTTTAAAAAAAAATAAAAAGAAAGAAAGAAAGAAAGAACTAATCTATTAAACTTTCCCCAGGATCAATTTTGTCGTAAAAAAGAAAATGTTGACCTCAATAAAGACCATCAGCAAGGAGAGCAGTTGCAGTCCTTCAGGAATTCATTATTGTGTGATTGCATTAAGTGATTAACCAACAACTATTTATTGAGCACCTGTTGTGTGCAAAGCAGTCTGAGTTAGATGACATGAGGCTTTTAATCTAGGAAGAAAGAGAAAACTAACAATAACTTACATACAGATAGCCCTGTAGTTGATGAAACAAAAAAGGTATTGTGAAAAGAACAACAAAAGTCATTTGGTAAGAAATGCACAGACCAGTGCATGTACACTAGCCAATATAAAGGGTATGTGTTTATTCATTCATAATCCATCCATTCACCGCATATTTATGAAGTGGCTACTAAATGCCATGCACTGTGCTAGGCACTATGAAGCAGGGAAGGAGATAAGCACAGGCCCTACTTTCAAGGAGGTCACAATGAGTTCACAGCAGGGGTTAGGCCAGCAGCCTCAGGAGCAGCACCAGGGAACTTGTCGGAAAGATAGTCTCAAGCCCCATCTTTAAAGGTGAGGCCCAGCAATGTAATAACAACTCTTCAGGTGATTTAATGCACACTCAAGTTTGAGAACTAATTTAGAGGAAGGAAAATTTCACTATGGGTTGCAGTTTCATGGAAGAGGAAGAGTTTGAATAGAGCCCTTAAATTTGGAGGTTAAGGAGGTGAGGAAGGGGAGGACTTCCAAGCTGTGGCAGAACGCCCCCCATTTAACCAGGGACAACAACCTAGCAATGTTTCCTCCTCCGCATCTCTTGCATCTCTCCACCCTGCCAATAACTTAGTTCAGGGCCTCATCATCTTTTTCCAGTCTTAACTCTCTTCGCGTGTCCACCTCAACATGCCCCCAATCCTTGCTTGCTGCTGCAACAGTCATCTTTCTAAAGCACACATCTGATCATGTTATTCTTCCCGTAAAAAGTTTTCTCTGGCCACCCCTTGCCCACACTCTAAAGTCAAACGGTGGGAGGAGCCACGCAAGTAACTGCAGTGTACAAAGTGGCTTTGTTCAACACTAAAAGAAGTAGCAGAGACCCTGCTGAAGGGAATGAGACTTTACCGTATCTGTCCTAGAGGAATTTAGACTCAGTAAAAGAATGTGCACCCCAAATTAGACCAGGACTGCCAGCATACCATCTCTACAGGGTCAAATCCAAAATCTGCAGCATGATACCCAGACTTTTGGGGCTTGGCCCCTGCTTCACTCGCATGCTTTTACTGTTGCTTTGTCCCATACCTCAAATTCAACATGGACCATATTGAACTACTAGCAGTTTGTGGAAGATACCGTCCTCAGGGGTCTGTTCTACTCCACCTGTCAGGATGCCCTTCCCCACCCAAGTTACTAGACTAACATTTACTCATCTTTCAGGATGCAGTTCAAGGATCACTTTTTTTAATCCTATCCTAACTTTGGAAGGTAGCATTGACCTAGTTGTCCCTTTTGTCTTATTATAATAATTCTAGTATATTCCATTATAGTACCTGTTTCAGTAGTTTGCACATTATGTTTCCATACTAGACTAGACTATGAACTTCTTGAAAGCAAGAACCATGCCCTATTCATTTCTGTATGCCAGCTTCTAGCAGAAGGTAGGAGGAAAATGAATGCTGAACAAACTGAAGTACAAGCAAAGATAGAGAGATGCAAAAAGAAAAGCTAAAGTCAATCCAGAGATAGCAAGAAGATCAGTTTTGCTGGGTAGAAATCTATTTGATAGAGAATAGGAGATATAACTGGAAGGACAGTTTTGAATCGGATTAGAAAAAATTTAAGTAAACCTAAGAAGTCTGAACAGGCGGCTACAGTAAGTTGAGCCCGTTTGCAGATTTTGGTGCAAGAAACATCATGGTATTGTAGCAAGGAATATGGTACTAAATCACATGCAGCTATTAGAATATCATAAAATTCCCCACCCCTTCCAAACCAAAGGAAAGGAGATAAGAGGTAGAAATAAAAATGAAATGACTTTTTGGTGGTTTTATTTTTCTACAAGATTTTAACTGATTTATCACTTCTTTTGTGATATTACAAAAGAAAAACAAAACGGCACATGAATTTGGCTTCAAAGAAAATGTAGGTCTTTTCATATTATTTAAAAATATTGTATAGCAATGAAAACAGAGAGCAAGTTTGGGTACTTCTCACTTATCAAGTTTGTTATTTTATAACCACGTGTTTGATTTAATTCCTCTTAAAGCAACTATTGTCACTGAATGAAGGTCATGCTAAGAAGTGACTGAATATGCCTTGGATCAAGGATGACTCAAGGGCATACTGGGCTTCCCTGAAGACAGTTTTTCCAAACTCATTTAAATCTAGTGCTAACCAGAAAAAACTAAGCTTGACTCAAATTCTTCTCTAGAGCTGGCAAAGAACACAAAGCACTCTACCTGGAACCAATCTGATTAAAAGACATTGCTCAGAAAGAAACAAATATGTCTGGGAGGTTCAGACGCAGATTACATGGTAAATCCTTTATATGAGAAAAGAAAAAGGATGCACTGCACGTGAGCAACAGACGGTCAAGAGCTGGGCTAACATGAGCACTAGATGGTCATCTAAATAAACCCACCTTGCTGATTTCTTACTTTTTAAACAGATTCACAGCCAGTTCTAAGCAAATAAAGTTGCTGAATTTTCCAGACCCTTAGAAATAAATGTCTCCATTCTTCTCACACATTGGGTATGATATTTTAAGCACTGCCTCAGATCCAGCAACAATTTTTTAAAAGTAAAAATAACTTTATTACAAAAGCATTATTTATTGTAGAAAAGACAGCAAATAAAGCTAAGCAAAAATAAGGGGTGGGAACATCACCATTACTGTACCTCCTTGCAGAGCTTATCAAAAAACCTTTTTTTAAAAAAATATACTGTTTTGTAACTTGTATCTCCTAACAGTTTCAACATCTTTCCACATTAATCTTCACGTATAAAATTATTTTAAACGGTCGCACAGCATTTAGATATACCACAAAATACACACCCATTTCCTGATGGGCATTTTGGTTAGTTCTACTTCACTGCTATAAGTAACTTTGGGAGGTACAGTAATAACTTTGAGGCTGCCGTAATTTCCTTAATTCTTTCCCAGGATTCCAGTGGCACATGATGGTGTCCGTTCTCCCACAACAGAAGAATGGGCATTATCATTACCAAAAAAAAAATCCCTTTTTGATGGGCAAAAATGCCCTCTCATCGCGTTATGCGCACGTTCTTGATTACCTTCGGGTCACTGCAATAGGGAAACAAGTTTCTCCAAGCGCACCCGAGACCCCTACCGCGTCTTACGGCCTGACCTCTGCTAAGGTGACGCGCACCACAGGCAACCGGCTGAAGCCGGCTCGGACGCAACGCGTGCGTGTGCGTGCGCATTGCAGAGTAGCGTCTGCGCGTGCGCACGCGAGCATAGTCGTTCTGGACGGCGGCTACGCAGCCTGTGCGAGGCTGGTTAAAGGTATACCGTGCTCTCTGCACTTCTTCTTCCGCCCCTCTGCCGCTTGATCGGGTCGGGATTGGAGCGGGGAGACGGGACTCTGGTAACCTGAGGCCGGGTTTCTTTTCCTCTCGCCCTACTTTCTTCGCTTGTGTGTGGTGGTGCTTGAGAGGCGGTGCGGAAATTGGCCACACCCCCTTACTCCCCGCCCCTGACCTTCGTCTTTTCTGAAACCGTGGTTATTTCTGCGCTTCGAAGATCAATAAAGGCCACTAACCCCATCTCAAAGAATAGGCCCTGAAATGTGTTTTGTGCCACTGACACTAGAAATACTATTTAGAATAAGACCTTGGTAATCCTGAAAAACGATGCTTTCTGCAGCCCATATTGGGCTAGGAAAGCCTTTGTATTTTTCATTGTGTAATTCTATTTTGGTAAATTGAATGAATCATTTCACCTCTTTGTCTTGGAATGTCTGAGGGTACTTACGGTTTAAAAAGGGAGTTAAGTCCAAACAGATGTTTTGATGATAAGTACAAATTAAAATGGTGTAACATTACTTTCCCTATGCTTATTAACAGCTGACACCAAGCACATGAAAGAACACCTCGCTATTTCTTAGAGCTTTAAGCTGTTTAAGCAACAGTGAGTACCTCCTGGCCGTGTTGTGATCTATTACAGGAATGTGTTTCTGATCGTCTGAATGTCAACCATGTTGTCAAACTGCTTGCAAAATTTCCTAAAAATTACCAACCCTCACCTTCTATATTCAAGATCATGCCAGCGATTAATAAGAAGTAAAAGGAGGTTTTTCGGAACTGTACCAACATCCAGATTGCGTAGGCGGGTTGTCATTACAGGCATTGGCTTGGTGACTCCTCTTGGTGTTGGAACTCAGCTAGTATGGGATCGTCTTATACGAGGAGAGAGTGGAATTGTTTCACTGGTTGGTGAAGAGTATAAGAGTATCCCTTGCAGTGTTGCTGCTTATGTGCCAAGAGGTTGTGACGAAGGTCAGTTCAATGAACAAAACTTTGTGTCCAAATCAGATGTCAAGTCCATGTCTTCTCCCACCATTATGGCCATTGGGGCTGCAGAGTTAGCCATGAAAGATTCCGGCTGGCACCCTCAGTCAGAAGCTGATCAAGTGGCTACTGGTGTTGCAATCGGCATGGGAATGATTCCTCTTGAAGTTGTTTCCGAAACTGCTTTGATGTTTCAGACGAAAGGTTACAGTAAAGTCAGCCCATTCTTTGTCCCTAAGATTCTGGTCAATATGGCAGCAGGCCAGGTCAGCATTCGATATAAACTCAAGGGCCCCAATCATGCAGTATCTACAGCCTGTACCACAGGAGCTCATGCTGTGGGAGACTCTTTTAGATTTATAGCCCATGGGGATGCTGATGTGATGGTGGCTGGAGGTACAGATTCTTGCATTAGCCCTTTATCTCTTGCTGGGTTTTCCAGAGCCCGTGCTCTGAGCACAAACTCTGATCCTAAGTTGGCATGTCGACCGTTTCATCCAAAGAGAGACGGTTTTGTCATGGGAGAAGGTGCAGCTGTGCTGGTGCTGGAAGAACACGAACATGCTGTTCAAAGAGGGGCCCGGATCTATGCTGAAGTTTTGGGCTATGGACTCTCAGGTGATGCTGGTCATATAACCGCCCCCGATCCTGAAGGAGAAGGTGCCTTAAGGTAAAGACTGGTTGTTTCGTTCAAAATGTTTATTCAAACAAGACATTTTATTGGAGTCTCAAATTAGGGAAAACTGTAGTATCTGGCCCTGGTGTACGATATCTCTGTTGTTTTTCCATTTTAGACTAAACAAATTGTTTTTGAATTCTTTGCTTCAACAGGTTTGACATATTTGAAAGTATTTGAACATCTTTACAAAAACTGGATTTTAGTTAAGGACAGTAAAGTTGTGAAGAAAACCATATGTGTCTTTGCCAACTTTCCATACCTCCAATTGTGCTTAACAGCTGTCAGAGTGCTCCCTCCTGTAATCCTCCTCTTTGGCCCTTCATCAGACTTAGACAGTAAAGTCAACCCTCTTTTCTGGATGTGTCTAGTCTCTGCTCCATTTCAGCAGGGTTCTGCTGTTATGAAATCAGCACTTCCCAACTTTTAATCGCCCAGAAATCTTATTAAAATTCATATTCTGACTCTGTGGGTGTAGGGTGGTCCTTGAGATTCTGCATTTCTAACAAGCTCCCAGGACATGTTGATGCTGCTGGTCTGAGGACCACACTTTGAAAAGCAAATTGCTATTATTGTAGAAGAGATAGTGAGCTAAGTAAAAAAAAAAAAAAACAAAAAAACTGTGTTAATGTGTTAGCTAATAGTTTAGCCTGCTTAGATCGTATTATGTTTTAACCAGTTAAATTAACCAGGGGTTGGCAAATCTTTTCTGTAAAGGGACAAATAGTAAATATTTTCGGCTTTATGGGCCATAGGATCTTTGTCACTACTGCTCAACTCTGCCTTCTAGTGCGAAAGCAGCCATAAACAATACATAAACAAATGGCTGCATTCTAATGAAACTGTTTACAAAAACAGGCATCTGGCCAGGGCCGTAGTTTACCAACCCCTGAAGTACATTTTTGAATTTAGTGAGTAGTTGCTGTGCTAGAAATGTCAAGCATAGTAGCTAGCTAGATGAAGAAATAGTTATGTTTAGGTGAAACCTTTCAGTGCACTTCAAATTATACTCTGAGCTGCCTTTTAAGGAAATATATGCAGCCTAGAGATCAGTAACTAAAAAAGACATTGTTGACATCCATGAGATTTTTTAAAGGTTCTGCCAGAGAAATGTTTTATTGTTGCTTTTTTTTTTTTGGCTTGGATTTGTACTTCTTCATTTATTTAGAATTCTTACATCCTAAATAAACAGGATTTTGAAAGGTTATTTGAAGCACGGAAGTAATGGTTCAGACATTTTTAGATTATTGGGAAATATGCCAAGTTTTATATTTAAATGTGAAAGAAAAAATTAAAACATGGTTATAAAATTTTTCTCCACATTTTAAATCTCTACACACACATACACCCTACTGATAAAAAATTCCTCAAGGAAAAGTTATTTTAGGCTTGAATCAATGTGGTTTTTTCCCCTAAGGAAAAAAATCAACTCAGATAAATGGAAATATATTTTATTGGAGATTATGAAATCCATAGGCTTGTGTGTTTACCTCATGGTGATGAACCAGTCCATGATACCGGGGGTGACTCATTATTCCCGTGCAGATGGCACTCTAATTCACATGGTAATCCAAAAGGGGGTTGTTATTAAAGCAAAGAATTCTTTTCATCCAGTATACTTGGATATTTCTTTCATATAAGCCATAGAAATTATGAATCCCACGTTCTGATAAGTTTCTTTTCTTATTTTATTAGATGTATGACTGCTGCTGTGAAAGATGCAAGTGTGCAACCTGAGGAGATATCCTATGTCAATGCACACGCTACCTCCACACCATTGGGAGATGCTGCTGAAAACAGAGCTATCAAGCATCTTTTCAAAGACCATGCACACGCCCTTGCAGTTTCCTCTACGAAGGGGGCCACGGGACACCTGCTGGGAGCTGCAGGGGCGCTTGAGGCAGCTTTTACTGCTCTGGCTTGTTATTATCGAAAACTGCCACCTACTTTAAACCTTGACTGTACTGAACCAGAATTTGATCTCAATTATGTTCCACTCAAGGCACAGGAATGGAAAACTCAGAAAAGATGTATTGGACTCACCAATTCCTTTGGTTTTGGTGGTACTAATGCAACACTTTGTATTGCTGGCATGTAGGACAAATTAGTGTAATCAAACAGATTTTTTTTAATGTTATAAACAAACTATATTAAGTGGAGAAATGTTATGTTTATATAAATGTATATTCTTATATATCAATATCCAGATATGCTTTATCTATGTCAGAGTTTGTCAGCCTTGGCACTGCTGATATTTTGGACAGGATAAGTCTTTTTTGGAGAAAGGGGACCTGTCCTATACATTGTAGGATGCTTAACGGCATCCTAGTCTCTACCCACTAAATTCAGATAGCACCCCTTTCTGCAGTTGTGACAACCAAAAATGTCTCTAGACATTGCCAGATGTTTCCTGGGGGACAAAATAGCCCCCATGTGAGAACCCACTGATCTGTTTTCCTAACACTCTAGGTCAAACAACTCTTTATGACATTTCGCCTGCTCCTGTCCCTTCCACAAACATTTGGTGAATAACTCCTGTGTGGTAGGCAGGTTTGCTGCCCTGTACAACTCTAGGCACACCATTCCCATACAATATGTAGAGAAGGAATACAAATATAACTGGAAGTTTGCATCATTGATCAACATTCATTGAAAAAGCAGTCATCCAGCAATGATCTATTTACCGCTTACCCATCTAGCTCTCTTTTCTTCATTTTATTTATACTGAAATTCAGTAAATTAGTGGAATTTCCCTAAACTTCCAAGCCATCAGTTCTCTGAAGGAAGGACGTGAAATTGGTTTGGCACTTTATTCTTTTTGTATGTATGGTGACACTTAGTGGTTAATGGAGATAAAGGTCTTAGGAAGTAGAGCAGAACTTCTTGGTGACTCAAGCCACATCCCCTGGGCCCCCCTCTAACATTGTTGTGGCTGCGGTAGATAGGTTTTGTGTTTGCTTCCAACATCCCATCAGAAGTGCTTGTGGTGCCTCTGCTTTTCCCCCTTGGGGCTTTCTGTAAAGCCAAGGGATTTTGTTCATCCCCATCAGCTGAAAGCGTTGGCGGGGGAGCGGGACAGGTTCCCAAGGGCAAAACTCAACCAGTGAAGGATGGGAGTTGATGGGTGAGCACCTCAGCCTCCTTTCAGAGCGGTATCTCAGGTTCCCTTGGTTCCTCAGAGGGTTTCCAGTCAGAGGAAACTTCAGTGCTCACAGCTTTAACCAGCTCAATGAGACCCCCTTTACTGGCTTCTTTTCCTTCCCTGTCCTCCCTCCCTGATTTTTAATTCTGCTCCCAGGAACCACCTCCCAAACAAAGTACTCTCCTTTCTGGGAGACTCAAACTAAGACAGAAAGTTTGTGTTGTAATTGGGCTTTGTCTATCAAAAGTGAATAAGTAGATAAACGGATGTGTGTATTTCTGCAGTAGTGAGTAGTGTTCCCTACATTTTAATAGGTTGACTATATTGCCTGCAAACTGACCTTGACTATAGCACTTTACCCCCTATATGCCTAGGACTCCTGCCGTGTTCTTTCAGCTATAGCCGGTTTTAATTCTCGTTGGCACACGTTGATTTGTTGAATTGAAATTGGCTGGGTGTAACTGTGGACCTGGTTTTGTACTGGCCACCAATGATAAAGTGACGGCTCAGGGAAGGTTTCCTTAAAGAAGCTGAGGCCATAAGAGTGAATACTTCTCAGCCAGGTTAAGGGGGGAAAAGGGAAGCAAGGAAGAGTATTTTAGCCAGGAGGAATAGTGTGAACAGGTTAGAAAAACTAGAATGTTTGTACTAAACATAAATACACATAGCCTGAGATGGGGGTGGAGGTGGGGCAGGTAGGAGATAAAGCCAGAAAATCTGGTGGAAGTCAGGTGACAAAGAACTGTGTAAGTTTTGTTAAGGCAGTGAGAGTAATGGGAAGCCATTTAAGGTTTGGGGTGTTATGATGGTTTTGTAATGGGTCAACTTGTCTAGGCTGAACTACATTTCCCAGAATTCTCTTACTGTATGTTTTTGGTTAGGCCTGGCAGTAAGAAATTCTTGTGGGAGATTTGGAGGGTGGAAGTGAAGCAGCAGCCATTCTGTAGCTCATGCATGTGGCTTTGCGGGACCACCGCCTCAACGTGAGGCAGTGGCTGAGCCTGCAAGTGCTTCATCTTCCCCTGCCTCTTCTTTCAGTTTCCCTGACTCCTGGGCCAGGTATGTGTTTAGTTCCGTGATAATGAAGGGCCCCAGCTTCTGCCCCCCACTAGCTAGGTCAGGGCCAATAAGAACTGACAGGTTTCCGTACATTCTTGTAGTTGTGGGTTCCAGTTTGTTATTGGAACTTTACATCCATCTTCAGTTCCTAAGTATCTGCCCTATGGACTTCAAAATCCAGCATCAGAAGATAATAGCTTGACATAACAGCCTTACAGAGCCCGTTTAACCAGTTCTCATGATAGTCTAAGAGCAAATCCCTAGAACAAGTACCCACATCTGTATCTATCTATCTGTCTTGGTGGTTCTGTTTCTCTGATGGAACCCACACTGATACATGTGAAGAAGAATGGGAGTTATTGGGAGTAACAGAATCACATTTTCTTTTGAAACATCACTGGCTGCAGAGTCAAGAACAGATTGAAGGGATCCTTGATTCCTATAAGGGAATCTAGTGTGAAGGGTATTGCAAAATCCAGGTAAGAAAAGATGGTGGCCTGGGTGAAGCAGGGTATTTTGACCCAGGGTTCTTCCAAAGTTGAAAATCATGTTTTTGTTTTGTTTTCTTTTAAATCAACTTTACCAAGGCATAATTTCTATACAATGAAATGCACCCATTTTAAGTGTACAGTCAAATGGGCTTTGAAAAAGTTATACATACCCTCGTGAAACCACTACCTCAATCAAAGTGTAGAACATTTCCATCACCGTGGGAATTCCCTCATGCCCTTTGCAGTCAATTTCCCCAGCCCCAAACAATCATTGAAGAGCTTTCCGTCACTATGGATAGGATTTGACTTTTCTAGAATTTTATATAAATGGAGTCATACAGAATATACTCTTTGGTGTCTGGCTTCTTTCACTCAATGTTTTTGAGATTTATCCATATTATTGACTGTCTCAGTAATTCATTCCTCTTTTATTGTCAATTTTTAAAGATTCTTTAATCAGAATAGATAACCTTGTCATTTACTCTTTCCCTAATCCCTACTCTTCTTATTTTATAACATTTTACTTTGTCTCACTATTATTTTTTAAATGAGTATGTACTGCCTTTTGAACAGCAGACAAGGATGTAAAAAATTTACTAGAACTGTGACAGCTTCTAAAGCGAGGAATCCTTCCTCTGAAAATCACAAATGTACAAGGATACATTTGTTCAAAGGATATATAGTATATTGGTGGGTATATATATGGATATATGTGTCTGTTTGTATATGTGTGGATCTTTATATCTGTCTTCCTCTATTTTGTATGTGAGTTGCCACCACAGCATAGCCACTGATGAGTGGTGTAGGGCCACACCCAGGAACTGAACCCAGGCTGCTGAAGTAAAGCGTGGCAAACTTAACCACTAGGCCATGGGGCTGGCCCCATTTGTGAGTATGCTTATTTTCATAGCAATATAGTTATTTGTGTAAGTTTAATATGAATATGTTCTCCTTGTAACAAAAACAAACCAGCAGCCAGTAGGCTGAACTCAGAGGGTTTGGCTGGTGATCACTCTTGACCCCTGACCATTAACCTTTTGCACTGAGAGTTGGGCTGTTCTGAAGGGATTAACCCTATGAGTCATACAATGGGAAGTCTGAGGGGTGGGTGATCATGAATAAGCCCTTGTGGGGTTAGGATATGTGGAAGGACCTTTGGGTTTACCCACAAGAGCCTGAGGCAGTCCTCACTGTCTTTTAGTCCTGGCTCATAGGGTACTGACACCTCCTGGCTTGAGTACGAGCTCTCGAAACTGACCCTTCATTAGATACAGCAGATTAGATGCATAGGAAGAGCAGTCACTGTAGCACCCAGGTGGGATGGTGTATTACCAAGGATGCTGGATTGCCCTTGAAATCCCTTGAAATACAGTGACGTGGTTAATGCAGTAGTAATAGCATGTCTTGTATGTTCTAAACAGCCCCCAAAGCCCCTGCCAAAGGAATCTGGGCCATCCACCGTAGTTCCCAACTGGTGAGGGATTGGCAAGTTGATTATACTGGCCCCTCTCTCCTAGTAAGAGTTTTAAATATACCTTGGTTTGTATGGACACTGTGTCTGGCCTAATCCAAGCTTTTTCCTGTCACTGTGCAAACCAAGCTTCCGTTAAGGGATTAGAGAAGCTGAGTACCATATGGGTACCTGCATCGAATAGTGATTGGGAGTCACATTTCAAAGGTCATGATGTGCAAGACTAGGCAAAGAACATGATGTTGAATGGAGGTTCCATCTCCCCTAAATGCGAAAGTGGCTGATTAAATTACAAACAGGTAAAACCACCTTGGCCAGGTGTACTAAGGGACTATCGTAGGCTTTTGGACATTCAAATGATCAGCCAGTAATGCCTCTTGCCCCATAAGCCATATTGGGGACCCCTGCCAAGACACCCAACATCGTAAAGTTATGGAAATCATGGGAGACAGCCATTGCCCCAACTCTCACCATGGATTGATATGCTATGCTGCTGAGAACACCAAGCCCTATCCCACCCGGGAAAGGCATGTATCTACTGGAATTTGCAGTGGGACGACCCACTGTGCTGGGTGAGCAACTTTGTACTCTTGGGTGAGGGGGAACTACTCAATCTCTATTGGGATCCCATTGTCCTGCTACACTAGCTGGACCTGTTGAAACATACTGTACCTGGAATGGAACACTTACCATTGAAGGAGAAGAAGATGGGAGTCCTGGTCTGGCATATTCTGTCCCAAGTCCATCTCCTCACTCCTGACAGTGCTGCCTACCCCTGCCAAAATGTATGGTATATATAACCAGATCAAGTTTCTAAAGCTGCCAACCTCCCTCTCCTCAAGGCCAGATGTGTTTTCCAATGGTACAATCATTTGGCAACCATCTTTATTCCCTCTATTGGCCTGGAGGACGTTATGGCTCATGTAGAATCCCTTACTAAATTCACCCAACAAGGTTTAAAATGTTAGCCAACACAGCCTGTCTTTACTGAACACTGAAATGTCTCTAATAAGTAAAGCAGTCCTCCAAAACAGGAT